ACTGAATGTGACTCATTAGCCTAGTTGCCACTTCCATTTAGATGGTGAGAAAATAAGAGAGATGAGAAAATAATCCTTTCTCTTGTTAGTGAGGTATAATTATTGTGCTTCAATGAAATATTAAGGATGAGAAAATAGATTTAAATAAACCTCTGCAGCTTTTACGTCATGTACCGTATACGCAATGTATTGTAGGACATGTTTGGGACAAAACATGGCGGATTTCTTTTGTTTTCTCTTGAAACTGATCCCACAATGCATTGAAAATCAAGTAGTGACGTAAAAGGTTCAGAAGTCTATTGATTCTAATGCAGTGTCGGCGTCGTCACCAGGACTAACCTTAATTTGGATGCACAACAATGTGACTGACTCCTTTGCATAATTTTTAGGCTCCTGGCATATAAAAGTCGATCCTTGTCAGACGTTTGGAAGGAAATTAAAGCTCTCTCTAAGAGGTAGGTATTACTTTAAAAGAAAAGTTGTTATTTCAGGACTTATACTGCGGGCCAATAGACTTTTAAAAGTAGAGATGGCATCTCTAAAGATTATTTTTTTGTTTTCCACCTTAATTTGCTTGGAGTCACTTTAAACTATTCGTCTCAAAATCCTAGATTTTTCACAAATCTAAATCTAATAAAAGTTTTTAAAAAACATTCAATGAAGTCCGTCGAGTGGGTTCTAACCGATATCGGTGAACACGTGCGGTGAAGTTCGTTTAAGTTTAATTGACAGATCTCAATCGTTGATCGGCTTCATTTTACCAATCCTCATCGGTCATGAAATTAAATGACCATTCTCAGTCTTAAAACATTTTATATGAAAATGTATGTTTCCTTTAAATCTTTGGGGAGATCAGGGGGGATTTGTTCGAAAACAATTATGGGATCCTCTACTTCTCTACTTCCATCTTCACACAGCACGCTTTATAAAATTAGGTTTAAAAAAATTATATTGAACTAGTGCTCCTAGAAAAGATTTGTTTGAGTAACAAAAAACTATAAAGTCCCTGATAATTTATTGCCGTCTTTTCTTTTGATTTGAAAAATCTTATAGGTTTCTGTTTAACAGAATAGAATAAATTGTCAGGGAAGGACACAGAATTCTGTATATATTTGGAAGGGATAGGGAATCGGTCCCCGTGCCAGAACCTCTGATTATGCATTGTAAAAATGTTTTKAAAATAWTTATTTTAGCTGTTTAATGTATCATATATTCTCATCTTTTTTAGAATCACAGTGAYAAAATATCGCTCCATTATGAAATTACTTTATTTAAAAAAGTACCGCAAATTTCTCTTTATGGTTGGAGTTTTGTTCTTCTACTTCTGCTACCGATTCCGTCATCATTTTAATCGAAACCAACCTCAAGGTATGGCAAACGATGACGTCATAAGGAAATCCCGTGACGTCAMCCAGAAGCTCACCAAGGCACAATGTACAGCGATGTTATCATGCTTAACAAACGGCACATGGACAATGAAAAAGGGTCTTAAATCTGAAGAAATCCGAAAGCGAAGCGACATAGATGCATACATGCTTGAGTATCAAGGTTGGCCAAGAAAATTAAGTCGGTCAGACTTGAAATGCGGAAGGAAATATGGTCCCGTTGGACAAGAGAASGGCATRTCCATTTGCGACGGACAAAGTGAACATCCATGCTGCAACGAGGACAAAGAAGCTTGTGGCAACACCMCAGAATACTGCAACTGCGAATCATGTACAAATTTCACTAAGTATCTCCCTGCGGAATTAGCGGAATGGAATGTCTATGACAAAGCCTGCAATGTGGAAAAATTTGGGCACAAAGAGGCCTGTGAATTTTTCAACAAGCACGTTTCTGAGATGGTCTTTATAGGAGATTCTCTTACTCGTCATATTTTTACCGCGTTGGCAATTCTGCTAACAAATAATTCTGCAACTGGAGCCCTAAGGCCTAACATTGATAAAAAACACAAACAAAACTGCCAAGGCGAGTTYCAGTTTATTGATGCAGGAAAGTTTCGTTGCCATGTATTTGTTGTAAGGCACTGGAAAGACTTAAAAAACGTTTGTGCTGAAGAAACCGTTAAATTTAAAGTTTACCTTAAGGAGGCTTATAATTTTAATCTTTTTCCAAGGGCAAAAAAAGCAGTAGAAAGTTTATTAAATAAAAGTGGCTCAGTGGTAGTGATAAACGTAGGTCTGCACRTRKKKCTGAAATCGGACGAGGTTTTAGAAAAGTACGTTGGGCCTCTTGTAGATATGGTAGCCAAGAACGGTAGCGGTTGGCCGAAACTAATCTGGCATGAGCTACATAGTGTGGATAATTTCATTCGTTCTGAGATCAAGTTATTATTTTCAAAGTGGAATAAATACAACGACCAGATGDCTGAGTATTTCAAGAAAGTAAATGTCGATGTTTTAGAAATGTCGCGATTTACGAAAAACATTCTAAGTTATGACTTCCGCCATTTTGGATTAGGCGGTAACATGATGAAAGTGCAAATTCTACTGAACTATCTCAAGAAATGGTTTGAAGTCTGTCCAAAATCGTGACAATAAAAGGGCATATTCTTTCTTTTATGTACTGAGGTTGATGAGCAATTCAGGCTGCTTTTAGTTACCTTTACGGTAAGACGCAAAACCATGCGTTCTAAAGACCTGTTCAAATTAAACTGCCACGTCCACGCAAATTTGACTTGCCAAGAATAAACCATTTTAGCGATCTCTTTTACGCTGTGTTAGCCTCACAACCATGKAATAAATTCTTTTATTCACAACAGCCCCTGCAAATGCAAGAGACTGATCCGTGAGCATAGAAGACAATGGAAATAGCTTGAAATCTCACGAGTTAAATATCTACATCTCTGAATATTTTATCACACAATTGAGGCTAACACAGCGTAAAAGAGATCGCGAAACTCAACTATTGCTGAGTATTCTAATGGCAACGTTTGATTTGCGCAAGTCCTATAGCCATGCACTGAACACTTTTAGATCGCCTAAAATTAAGATGCAAGCCTTCCAAAAAAAAAATTCACAATGTAGCAGCTAGGAGCACAAAAAGTAACCACTGGGAATCAATGAAGAAACATATTGTACAAAACAATGTTAGAGTGGACGCACTAAATCTGTGAAACTATATAAATAATTGCATGTAAAGAGTGTTGATTAGGGGAATCAGTGCTAGTAGTAGAGGATACGAATTTTTTTGTTTCACGCGGATTGAGTGCGTTATTGAATGTTGACTCTCGAATTAGTAGAATAATTGTTAAAATAGCGTACTGAAGGAATTTATAGCCCTTGTAAAACTCATGAATAATTAATGAGGAAAACGCAATAGAAATCACAACCGTGAAGAG